ATACAATTTTATTCAGTCTAAAATTTAAAAAAATTACATAATATTCCCTTTGTTGAGTGTAAGCACGTAAATTGATACATTTTAACTGCAATTCAAATTTAGCGTTACAAAGAACTACAAACATTTCCATCCAAAATTTTACAACTGGTACGTAAACAACAAAACTTTACATAAAGACTTACGACAACCAACTATCGACCAATATATACAAGATCTTTACTCCAGATTTCATCTTAAACTACACGGACATCACAACGGACTTATTAACGACATGGCCACAGCTGACATGCCTATCAGTAGACGATTAAAGAGGAGCTGGATGAGAGATCTCCTTTCTTGAATTAAGGAAATAAACCAAGACCAGGAAGAAGTGTTGCTGATTACTATTTTTTTCCGCATGTCTAAAATGTCAATTTTTCGTATTAGTTACAGCACATTTACTTATTGTCAAGCTCATGACAGGTGTGGATGGATGTATGAAGACAAAAAAAAAAAAGTATTCGAAATAAAAAATAATAGATAAATATATGGTGAATAATAATTACCACGGTGAATCAAGTTCTTGCAACAAATCTTAATAGATGTATTGATTTGTTATCGTGTAATTTATAGAATTTGTTTTTATAATTTTAAAAGTGATTCTAGAGTTTTTTTTTTTAACTTTGTAAAATTAATATAGTTTTTCGTTTAAATTTAATTTAAGTTGATGTTATAAAAAATGTCACTGGGATCTAATTTTTTTTTGTTTATTACTTTTTTTAAACTATGGAGTTTTAGGTTTTTTTTTTTTTATCTCTATTAAAGTATCAAGGTCAAAAATTCTAACTCTATATTGATCCTGCATCATAGTGAAAAGCTTATAAGGTTGTTATAACAAAGAACCTTACAATGTTTTACCCAACGTTTGAAGTTTTCTCAAGTTCTCAATATAGGTTTGATAAATACTATCATTCTATATCTAATCAATCTAGTATTGTATATACTATTCATTCCACTCATCAAATTATTAATTAAAATTATTAATGCTTTTCTTTATCAAATGTTTGCTAGAAAATGTTTAAGCTGGTGAAAGACAATTATCAGATATAGAGTAAATCTCTGAGGAGGGCCAAATATCCCTGATCGGATGACTGGAGCTTGAGGAGTCGCGATAAGGAGCAAGCCAGAGGATTAGTGGAATCTGTTCCAATTATAACTTGTGATTGGCTCTCAGTTTCCGCAGGACCAAGGATTATCTTCGGGATCCTCCTATTGTACAGCCTTCATCCTTCTTGTCCTTGGAGCAATAACAATCGCTTGTGGTTCTTGCTTTGTTTAAAGCCTGATTGAACTGATTGTTTGTTCTTACTGATAATACTATTGGGGCTATAACTTGATGTGTTCGAGTTGGACGCAGAAGACTAGTTTTAACATTGACTATATATTTTTACTTTCACTTATTTACATTTATAATGCATGCTAAGGGAATGTATTACAATCGTGAACATTTTCGAATTTGAGCATTTTTAGGATTTTCTCGAAACCGACAGTAATGATTTTGATTTTAATAGGTTTATCAATATACAATTAAATAATCTTTAATAACAGCTGGTTCTTATTCTGATTGATGACGCTTAATAGCGCTTAAATGCTTAATCTTCGAAACTTTCTTATTCTAAAGTACCTCTAGTTTGGTTCATTTCAAATAATTAACTATCTTTCACTGTCAATAGAAATAAAAATGGCTGAATATAAACATTGAAAGAAATTTGATTAACTAAAGAGGGGGAAAAATATATGTTTTTTTTTTTTTAAACTTGAAAGTGAATTTCAGGAAATAATGATCACAATATTTCGACAGACGCACTGAAAAAGCCTGCAAGAAAAAAAAATTTCAGGAGACGAAAAAAAAAATGCGTAGTTTTTGTTCTGTGAGCATTGTATTTTCGGTTAATTTTTTTTGTTTGCAGACCTAAGACAAAGATATTTTATTTTATTTTTTTCTCTTATGCCAGTCGTTGGTCATTTGGCCATCCGATATCTTGCTGCCCAGTACAATTTAATATATATATTTAAAAATATTTTTTCTCTTTTAAGGCAGGATGTAATGCATGTAATATAAGACAAAGATGTAATGCTCTATGTAACATATTTGTTCGTTTGTCTATCAAATAATCTTTTTTACCAAATAATGGTTTTTGCAAAATCCAATAGAGATGAAATGAAGGGTCGAATATGTCATTTTGTGGGTTCAGAATATGCGCCAGGTCAAGATTGAAGCTCAAAACTTCATTTTCAATAGAAATTTTCCTGTTGATGTATGGATAATATATCGTTGGAAAGCTGATGATTTTAGCTAAAATGATATCAAACATAGATAAGCCGTAAACGGTAATGGAGAGTGACGAAAAAATTATAAATAATAATTGTTCAAAACTTATTTTATTTAACGGAAATCAATCGTTTCCATGGAAATTAAATTAAATCTCATAAATAAATGTTGTAAATTTTTAAAATTATTTTTAAGCTTGAAAATAAAAGTATATATAATCCAGTTAATGCCACTATTTAAAAAACTATTTTATTGTACGTTTATGAAAGAAGAAGTGAAATATTTCATGGATGGCTAAAACATGTGTTTATAATGTTAAATACATTAACTGTAGTTTAATAACTCTAGATCTTATATTTAAATGATTAAAAATACATCGTCGGTTTATTCCGAAAAAAGTAATATTAGAGTGAATTAAATTAATAAATAATATGATAAATTTTCATTCTGTCGATTCTTAGCCAATATCCACTTACTTAGTGAGATATCTTTTGATCTATCCATGGTAGGCGATTTTCGATCAAGCTCTCACAATTTTTTCTATAAAAAGGTTCTTGTCCTATGTTTAACCATCGACAGCAAACTAATGGATACAAAAAACTATGTGCGTTACTTTAGACTTTACTTATTAGTATCTACTTGGAACATACGACATGAAAAATATAAGAACTGATAAGACGATATAATCAACTCTTACATCTTGTGGACTACAGATCCTCCACTTCTACAGTGAATTCACATTTCAACACATAATCATTTCAATCCACAGGTTCTTTCAGTTTCTTCCTCTCTGTAAGCTGCTTGACGCAGATTAAAAAGAAAAGTATATAGATCTGCTCCTTCACAAGTAAATCAATAAAGACATTATAACTCACGGCCGTTATAATGAAAAAAAATTGGAGAAACTAATCATTTAACATCAAATAAGCAAGATGCGCTATTACTCAGTTGCAAATGCCGTAAAAAAACAAAATCAATAAATAATTACATATTTTAATCCAGAAAATCATGATCAGAAGGTCAGATAAGATCAGACAAGAAAGAGAAAAATAAATAAAAAATTAAAACACTATATAATGTGTATCGACATTTTAAAAATAAAATAGCGATGTTTTATAAAATGTATAAAATCAAAAAATAATTATAAAATGAAATATTACAACTTCTTCAAATTTTACCATTTTACTACAATTTTAAAATATAAAAATGTACAATAAATAAACGGTGTAAACAACCAAACAATAAATTATTTATGCATTTTTGTTTTGTTTTAAACTGAAATATGCGTTTTTGAACCTTCTACCCTAAATTACTTTTAAGGGTCAACTGGCACACTTGTTGTTACTAAAAAAAGATATATATATAAATATATACTTGTTCGTATGTTGCTTATTTGGTAATAAAAGTGTTAACAAGTGAGCAGAAATATTTCTTCTTATTTCTTTCGATGACACTACGGTCCCTTCAGAAGTCTGGCTTCCTCCACAATTTTTCACCATACATCTCTGTCCAAGTCACTCTTCTCCACTTTCGGACTCCAAGTGTCCTCAGATTCTTCACTACGTCTTCCAGCCACCATAATTTGGGATGCCCTCTTGATATTCCTCCACCAGAATGTCTCTCCAGAAGCTTGTTGGGCCGCTCTTCCATCCTCTGTAAATAATGTTCCAGCCACCTAATTCTACTCTTCTTGATGAAGGTGCCAATATCCGGGTTCTTGTACAAATCACGGAGCTCCCAATTGTTTCTGGGCCGCCACCGATCCCCCTCCCTCAAGGGACCAAATATCTTTCTCTGAACTTTCCTCTTCCACACAATGAGCAGTTGTCCTGACATCCTGGTGAGAACCCATATCTTACTTCCATATGTTACTACTGGTCTAATAAAACTAACATATGCGGCCTTCTTTAAATGTCAGGGCAACACTTTTGACACAAGTAGGTGCATTTTCGAGTGCACAGCAATATCTACTTCTGGCCATCATGCATGACTTTATTTCTGCCTGTACTTTATATCATTATTTTCGTTAATGTTGGCTCCAAGATATTTAAACTTCTGTACCTGCTCGAAAAACTACTCTCCACTCCTACGACCGTTCCTTGCCTCACAATCACTCCGGGATTTCTTCATATTCTCAGTTTGGACTCCATTAATGTCGAGTCTCGCCATTTTTGAGGCCTGTTTACATTCCTCGAAAGCTCCTAGTAAAGATACTCGTGTGCGACCAGTAATGTCAACATTATCTGTGTTTTTCGATACTTTGTTTTTCAATTATAGATGGACTCCCATGATTTGTCCTCATCACCACTTCCAAAACAATATTGTGGTCCTCATCACCACTTCCAAAACAATATTGTGGTCCTCATCACCACTTCCAAAACAATATTGAATAGGATGGGAGACAGAGAAGAAACATTTCAATATGTTATATAAAGTTTTCACTCATTTTATCAATTCCTTAATATTATTTAAATTTGATTTACCTAAATATATTTTTTTATTCTTTGAAATATTAAGTTTCACCTGTAAAATATAGAATACATTAGAGAACTGATTTAATTGATTTAAAAAATCATGTATGTCAAATCTAAGGGTCTTCGATATATACGTGCCAAAGACTAGTTTACCACTCTAAGTAGAATATTGGTTAGTTTATCAAAGAGATTTATTAGGAAAAAAAAACAACAAGAAAAGCAGACAGATGTATATTTATTTAGGTACATCGCAGAAGACAATGTTTTTTTTTTTTAAAAAAATGAAGAAATAATGGATAAACATGGAATATGTAAAATAATTTGATTCCAATGTATTTTTCATTTTCAGGGACAAGTTATATCCCATGGTTTGTCCACCAAATAGACGTGCACCGTTGTGAATCCGTAAGTTCTGGCAATGTGGTCGCAAGGAGGTGGATTAGTAACAACAAACTGAAAATTAAAATTAAATTAAAATATTTTTAATATTCATCTACCAAGGTCTACGCTAGATAAACTATAATATAAGTGCTAAGTAATAAAAACAATTAATACTTTTATTTTAATCTTAATACCTTTTTTTTATATTTTACATCACCAGTATGTCGAGAAAATACAGTAAAAGTAAAATTAAATAATGTCACTTTGATCATTCAACCAGATTATTATAGTGGAATATTTTGTATTTCATATAGGACGGATATTTACGGATACATGATAATCGACGTCCATATTTCTTAATTATTTTAATACCATAACTACACAAATAAAGAAAGAATATAACGATAATTTTATATTAATAAAATAATGATTTATTTTCCCAATTGAAACCATGATAAACAGTCTACACTCTGTAGACTGGGGCATTTTGTTCAAATGGGCAGGTTGGATAATTGAATTTGCTCACAAAATATTCACTGAAATGAGCTATAAATCAGAGTAGAAAGCTTGCAATACTCTTTCTGAAAATATCACATGTGTCAAAGCATAGTTGATGGTATTTTTTTTTATATGTTTCATTATTTTTTCAACTATTAGTTTAAAAGCTTATAAATAAATTTTGAAGCTTATAATCAGTGGTTCACACCAGTATTCAATGTTACTTAATATTTATTCGTAGACTCAAAGAAAACCTTTTATATGCTGGACCTAGGGATGGAGTAGGTAGGTACAGTGTGGTCGGTGTATGTTGATCATATGGGTTTGATTAGCTTAAATAGTTTTCAAAGCGTCAGATATATCAGATATATCAGTGGATTAAGTTCTAGTTAGTAGTGGTGAGTGTGTATAGTTTGTGTTGAAAAATAAGTGAAGGCCTTATTTTATAAATGTTTTCACTACAAACATTCTTCAGTGATTGATCAGTAATCTATGTAATGTACTTTCATTAAAAAAAGAAAACAGAACACTATTTATAAAAATGTAATTTATTTACTTTTTAAGTCTTTCCCACATGAAATTCAGCTACGAAAACTCCTATAGGCCAATATAATCCAATGATCTCAAACAAATATGAACTTTTGGTAATGGATTATACAATTGAACATGGTTTTTCTAACGTTTATAAAAAAAATAATATAAGCTTAAAAGTAAAAGATCACGAAAACAAATTGAGCCAACTTGCCCCAGTTTCCCTTATAGGAGTATGATGTACATCCTCATTTCAAACTAAAAAAAAGTGGTCTTTGAAATTTTGTAGAAAATAAATGTTGGTTATTGCTTTGTATTGAGAAAAAAAAATTTAAGCAATTAATTACTGTGCGCATATAATCTTTTTTTTTTTTGTTACTTATCTCAAAAATAGTCGTTTATATATTTATTATTAAGTCCTGATTTTGTTACATGTATTGGTTGACTTTTAGCTCGGTTGTATCCAATATATTTTCGTCCCTCTTAAATACTCATAATAATTCAATTGATATTTTGAAGAAATAAAAAATCACTCATGCTGTAATTTTACATACTACTTACCTTTCCAACTTCGTGATTAGGTTTCTCATACCAGTCTCTGAGATGGTTCTTGAATCCAGATCCGAGTACACCCATACCGAACCCAACCAAACCACCCTGTTCGTACAATGGGAACAGGGCGTAGAGTTTGCTGCAGTCAGAATCTTTATTATATTTGTAGAAATAGTGTTGTCCTGCAAGGGAAAATATTCAAATTTTGAAATTTACATAATCTGATTTTTTTTATAATAGTAATAATTTGGCAATAATAATTGAGGTTTAATAGTTACTAGATTACTAGATATTTTATCACATAATTATTATAATTATAGTTATTATAATTACCCATTGCCGGATAGCAGCCCTGCCTGTCGAAGTCTCCCATTTTTGGACCAGTGGGTTCTTTCCTTTGGATCTCAACTAATTTACCTTCCAAGTAGGCCCAGAGACCTTCGGCCGTTTCGTCTGTGTTTCCACGGCCTGCGTTAGTCAGCTTCTCTGTAAAAAAAAAAAAAAAAAAAATTACTTCACAAATATGTTTTTTTAGTTTAAAATATTGCTCAATTGACTCTCATTAAGAACTTTAGTTTCTTCGCGAAAAATAAATATTTTCCATAGTTATTGAACTTATTTAGGAAAGTCATTGCTACTGTCATGTTAATCTTTTTGTCAGTTAAAGAAGAAAAAAAAAATCATTTTAGTTGTCTGATATTTTGTAACGAACATTGTAAACTTTCTGTAATCGGACACATTCTACACGACAAGATTACTAATTATGATTACAGGATGTGAACGTATTATTATCATATGTATCAGAACCAGATGACATTGCTTAGATTTAATTGTGCCTCAATGAGTTGCAGAGTGCCCAGAAGGGGGTTTCATAGCTCAAGTTGCGCCTTTAAATTTTTTGAGAGGGGTATATGTTGACCGATTTTTGAAGTTTTCGAGGAGAGGAAATTTCGTCAGGATTATGAATTTTCGGACTAAGAGGCAAAGGGAAAATATATAACAGGCCGTAGAAAGTGTAATTGTATACGATCTACGAATTTTCTAATTCTATCTTCGCTTGCTCTGTTTTTAAGAAAAATTGAGCAATAAAATATCTTAGAAGGAGGGAGAGAGAGGGTAGGTTTTTGCACCATGGACTTTGAGAGGGATGGATATCTCTTTTATTACTTAGATAAAATATGAATCATAATATTCATTATCAAAATAAAAATTAAAATACAATTATTCAATTCAACAAATATAACATTCATTGATTTTGTTTTATGAAATGACTATTAAAAAAATATTGAACTCAATGTAGTTTCTTTCAGAGAATAGGAATGACCTTTGCTTTGTTTTTTTGCTGAAGTAAATAAACAATTAATATTTATTCTGCAATTTATAATTATTTGAATTCTTTATGAAGGTGTATTATTATACATATATTAATCATTGTAGAGTGGAATTTATACATCAGTTAATAAATTAATAATGAAACAGAAATTGTGGGATTCAATATGTTTCTGCAATATGTTTTCCTTGTTTCTTTTATCGTACTTTTTAAATCGGTTTGATTTTCTCATTTTTTTTCTACCTGACTCTTTTAGCTAGTTACGTATTAGTATTCATTAATTAATGAATTAATAATACTAATTATCGTGGTGCGAATAATTGTTATCACATACTTATTATTATTGTGTTAAGTTTTATTTAGGTATTAAATTCGCATTGTCTAATTTTATACCTAAGTACTTTGTATTACGGCTAGGCTCAGACCAATATTACAATACATATACAAGGAAGAGGGAAATACTTATAATATATTTAAAAAATTTCTTACCTGGGTTTGTGAAGTACACTCTGCTGGAGTATGCAGGCTTATTGAAGAAATTGGTCTTGACATAGTTAATGTTGCTTTCGTAATCGTAGTGTTCTTTTTTGACGTTGCTTACGTCTTCCTTAAGAAACTGATTTATGACCTTAGTATTAGTTAAGTTCATATTAATGCTGATTTAATTCATTACAATTATTAAATACAAATCTGGTGCGGTGCTCGCATCACACAACTTTCACTTATCGCCCTTTTATTTACCATAAAAAGAGATTTTCAGAAAAAGGGAAGTGAAAGTAAAAATGATGATGATGATGATACAAAATATTATTTAAATCAATTAATTAACATATCGCTAATGTTAGTGCAAAAAGGTCATATGTAAAAATTTTACTTGTGTATTCTGTTTGCGCTAAAGGTGATATTTTGTAATTTGCTAAAAATAAAAATGGCAGATCGATCAAAAATATGATATTACACCAATAAATAATCGATTTTATGCTCTTCTGTAAAAAAAAAAAAACTCAATTTTTATATATATTAATAGGGAGGGTTGGTCGAATGGGCTAGCGCGTGTGTTCAGCTCCCGACAAACCGATATAAGATATAATGATTACAAAATAGTCACGAGTTCGAGTCCCGGTGCCAAGGGAGTCTTTTAAATCTCCGTCCTCACCTCCTGGCCCTGGAAAACCCCGTATTATAAGGGGTGAACCAGAAAAAAAAAAAAAATTTAGCACTAACAGTAGTGATATGTTTTTTTTTTGTCACTAAATGTTTCATTTTACGATTATTTACTTTCATTATTTATTTGATTATAATAAATAATTAACTATCACGAAATATTTATAGTACGACAAGAGTATTACTGATAAAGAAGGCCGCTATATTTATTTATATTTCATTGAAAGTATTTCTATTCATTTAAGTATTGGTTTATATAGGAATTTTAATTTTTATACAGGCGAATCTACTAGGAGGAGTCCCTCCTCAAAAATGGTAAAATGTAATTCTGTTTTATGAAAAATAATACTAAAAAATTATCTCTTAAAATATTATTATTTATGGAATTACATTTCATAGGACTTCAAGCATCACTTAAGCACCATTTCATATAAGTAGTTAGTTTATTTTTTTCTTTCTCGAAGTAATTATCGTTACATGTATGAAAAAAAAAAAAACTATCAGGCTTTAAAATTAAATTCAAATTAAATCTGGATCCGCTAGTGGCTGTAATTTATACAATTAAATATTAAAAAATACCAATGCTATTATTTATGGTGAGATGGTTAATTATTTCAATTAAAAAAATATTGAACATACTTTAGAAGAAGAAATTTTGAAAATTTGGGGAAGGTCTCAGAAAACGAATGTTGATGTGAACTTGGACATCGGTTAGTGAACGGTAGGAATCGAACATCTAGCTTAGAAACGTAGAAGAGCTTGTGCAAATTGTGATTTAACTTTTCTATGTGATCCTAAGGTCTTAGCAATCTTTCACACTGATTGGACGAAAATTCGACAAACAATGGAGTTTACAATTGCTCGCTTCAGTTTTTTTTCTGGGCGAACAGTCGGTGGAGCTTCATAGATGTAAATATTTCCTGTACGAAATTGGGCAAACTAATTTCGATACGTGTTCTCGGTCTAGGTATCAACCCCCAAAATACTGCTACTTTGTTAGTGAACTTCTGCAGGACGTTTACCCTTTTTAAAATAATACAACAAAATATTTCGATAATGACTGATATTTTCTTCCGTGCCCACTCTGCAATAATAAATAATAATAATTTTAACAAGAATTTGCAGAATTGAATGGTTTCATATTATAAATATTATTAACAATACATTTTAGAGATTATTTCTTCAATTAAAAAATATATGGTGGTGACATAAAAATCGAAAGAATTGATTTTGAGCACCCAGTACGCTGTGTGACCAGCGACTCCCACTGTAGAGTTAAATAGCACTTTTCTTACAATAAAGTTTTTCTATCAGTATTTTATTTTTCCATAGGATTTTAAATTAAAATTGTGTTATCATAAGATCTAGGTTATTATTAATTGACAAAAAGTACTTACTGATAGTTGAACTCCTGCTACATTACCCTTCTTATCGTACATAAAGCATACCCTCGGGTCATTTTGGTGGCAGTAGAAGTCCATGGGGAAAGGAAAGTCCGCCTCTGGTTCTACCTTCACGAAGTCTCGGAACAGGGGACTGCAACTCGTCGTAGGTATCTCGAAGTAAGCATCGCTATTCTTCAAACCGTAAGCTGCTGTTTTGACTATTTTCAGAAATAATAAAGTATATTAATTATTTCAAACTGGTTTTTAATCTTAAAAATTCATTTGATTAAAAAATGATAGAGAAAAATACGGTACAACTTTAGAGCACTTATAGTTTTTTATATGGATTATATATCCAAGGATACTGGGGTATAACGGGGCAGCTGCCTTCCCCTCACTTAAAAAATCAAAATGAAATAACTACAAATTATATAAACTGTTATAGATTGGATTTTAGCATTTTAAAATTTTGAAAGAACCTAATCAAGTAAAAAGGACATATAGATGAATAAAAAATAAATCCCTTATTGAACAAAGTTTTTCGACCTAGCTAAGTCCTTAGATATGTTCACACCAATTTTTTAATTCAAAAAGTAAGAAACTAAAGCATAGAAAAGAACTATAGAGGTTGACTTCTAAGATATTAGGATATTTAATTTTATATATAACATTACTGACTTGAACATGCACAGGCAGCTTTTATTAATAAATTTATAATTTATCAGCAAATGGTTGAAATATTACAGAATTTAACATACTGTCAAGTTTATTTTCATAATAGTCGGCGGAACCTCTTTTTATATTAAATTATTAACAACCGCCCAAACTTCGAGAATGGCTTCACCTTATCGTAACATACAATTTTTTATCTGTAGAAATTCTCAGAAATGAGGAGTTTTATTATTAAATTAATTTCCATTAACTTTCCACTTGATTCGCAAGATAACATGATAATCTAATCTAGAAAAAAATGGCGGCTTACAAAAATTTGGATCGTTTGGCACATATAACCTCGTTATTTTGGAGTATTGGGGTAGATGTCACGTTAAACGGCCAAATATTTTTGTAGTTTTTAATACCTCATAGAAAAAGAATACTGATCTATAGATATCCGAGAATTTCCATTAATACAATTATTGTATGTTCCTATAAGATAAAGCCATTCACGAAGTTTTAGACGGATGTTAATTATTTGCTAAAAAAGGGTCCGCATTGCTTTTATTACAAATAATCATTATTGGTGCCTGTTTTTGTGAGAATTATCTCGTGGATCGTTAAATGATTCTTGCTACCATTATGATTTTAATTTTTGTATGTGGTTTGTATATAAATATGGATCATACAGGTTTTTCTTCATTTTTTTTTTTTTTAAGAAATGATTGTATGCATTATAGTGTAATATTTGTTTTCACCGGTTTCTCTTTACTTACTTCTTAGATCATTGAATTTCCTCCAAGCCGTTACTACTTGCAACAGGCACAGGACAGCTAAAACCTATAACATATAGTATTTAGAAAGTCATTATAGTAATATGTAATTGTATAATTATATAATTTAAATGAATATTATATATATATAAATATATATATATATATATATATATATATATATATATATATATATATATATATATATATATATTATCGTACATTAGACATCTGTGGAAAACATAATAATTATAATAATAATAATAAGGCTTAGCGAACCCGAAGGTTCGATGCCGACACCACCAATCGCTTGTTACACACCTCCCTCCACCGTTCGCCGTCCAAACCCAGTTCCTTCAGATCGGCTTTAATGAAATCTTCCCACCTTCGCTTCGGTCTACCCCCCGGACGCTTACCATTCGGCACAGCAAATATTAACCTTTTAGGAATTCTCTCGTTACTAAGCCCAACAACTTTACAAGCCCATTTGATTCGCCGCGATGAAATTACCTCAATTATATTACCCAGATACAGCTCACGCAATTCGGCGTTGTGTAACCGTCTGAACTCTCCGGTTAACTCATCCTTCTTCGGTCCGAATATTCTACGCAATACTTTATTTTCAAAAACCTTAAGACGCTGCTCATCCCTTAATGTAAGCGGCCAAGTTTCGCATCCATAAAGAACTGTAGGCAAGATAATTGTTTTATAGATTCTAATTTTTAAGTTCCGGGACAAGAGGCGCGAACTAAGTAGTTTTGTCACAGAAAAATAATTCACTTTTGACTTCATCGTCACTGTCTTCGGTCGGACAATGTATGTTTATTAATGCGATTTTAAACCAACATCCCTGAAATGTAGCTACCGAAATTCTATCATTAAAGAATTGTACGTCCCTCAAAGCGGATAGTAATCTACTCCTAATTAGAAACCCGGTACCCAAACAATGATTCCCGCTTCCTCCGTACCAAATAGTGTACTTTCCTTCCCTCATCGAGCCCTCCCCTGGCCAGCGAACCTCTTGCAGAGCCACGACATCCAAATTGTACCCATTTACCTCATTCGCGACCGATTTTAACCCTCCTGCTGTGTTTAAACTCCTTACGTTCCACGTACCAATATTTAAATCCCTATATTTCAACTTGCACCATGAATCCCCTAAAGCAGTCCCCACCCGGAGACCCGAACGGGGGACTAGTTTACCTCCGGATAATGAGCGTTTTACCTTAGGGAGATCCATGACTTTTTGTGGTGTTTGGTGAACTAAAGATATGTGAGTAGGGCGTTCAATCCTACGTCACACCCTCCAGCAAGTCTGGTGGGCCCCTACCTCCAGCAAGTCTGGAGGTCCCCTCCCTCCAGCAAGTCTGGAGGGCCCCTCTCATTGTTGGTCAGCGAGTCCATCGGACTTAGCCGGGAGGAACTTCCAAGGAATTTCCACCGACCATCCCCACATCCGCCACCCGTGGGACGCTCCCCATACGCGGTAATGAGCCCGCGCGAGGTCTGTGGAAAACATATGATAATTAATTGTTTTAAATTAAACTCTTTACCGTCTGTAGTTTTATCACTAGTAATATGTATATATATTACTAGTAACGTGGAACTCACATACCAGACTTAAAAGACAACAACTTAACAGACGATACGGACAGCTATATAGACTAATGAATAGAAAATCCCAACTTTCAGTCTACAACAAACCATTAATCTACAAGACAATCCTGAAACCTATCTGGACCTACGGACTAGAGCTGCGGGGAACAACATCTTCCAACATTATACGCAAAATTCAACCCTTCCAGTTTAAAGTCCTCCGAACAATAGTCGATGCTCCCTTATATGTAACCAATAAAACCCTCTATAATGACCTTCATATCCCATTTGTTATTGACCTAATCCCAGATAAATTTTACCATGACGTCACTCATCATCCAAATCCTGCAGCACAATCCCCATATAGCTCCATCCCTACTATTCTCCCCGGAGGTTAAAACGGCAGTGGCCCCGCGACCTTTTGTAAATATGTATATATTGGAGTACTGGCAATGGCCAGATTCTCCACTCAAGTGCGTCGCCTGAGCGTCTGTTGCTCTAGTGTCCTCCATCAGTCTCCACAGGCTTGCAATACCAGTGACGCGGCTGAGAGAGAAGCACGGGGGTCTCCTGGAGTCCTGCCTTGGCTTCCACATTTGGGGGATAAAGCATGATTCAGAGTTCCCTGGGCGAAACTAAATATTGTATATTGGCGTGAATGTGTTTTATCTATTTTAATTTCATTTAGTTTTTTTCTAATTCTTTTTTTTTTTTTTTTTTTTACAAGTATAAGTTAATTTTCTTATTTTACTTTCTACAACTCTTTTTCTGTTTTCTCTATTTTAGTTGTGAATGTTTAATGTAGCTCTAATATTAATGCCCTCCAATGTGGAAAATGGAAGAATGTATTTTCAACGAATAAAAAAAAAAATATATTAGTAGAGTTTCGACTTAAGTATACTGTCTAACTTTTAAAAACATATCTTGTGGAATATTAAATATATTTATTTGAAATAAATAATTTTCAAGGTAACTTAATCCTTGTATAGGTAAAGGATTTAATAAATGTGAATAACTATTTCCTTTTTGCTAAAAGCATACAGAGATTTAATAGTCGTCTACCAAAAACATTTTATTTTCTTGTTTGTTTATTTTCTAGTAATATTTTTACAAGAGCTCCTAATTTCACAAGATCTCTCAAGGTCCTAATCCGGCCCTAATTCTAATGTTGCTAATCATTCATATTACGCATTAGTTTCTAATGCGTTTCCTCATAATAGAGCTATTTATAGAATTTATTCCATAAGGAAAGTAGTTGCGTAGCGATTTAAGGGTCAGCTACCCTGGCTCACCTTGGATCAAACTCCTTCAAACATCTACCAACAAATTCAAAGAGCTTCTTCCAGTTCGATTTAGCTATCGGATACAAACCAAATATCCATACTGAAATTTAAAATAACATTTGTTTTACATCTCATCTAACCGAGAGACTAACCGGATTGTAAGTGAAAGAGATTGCCTTGAACGCAGAGATAAACATTATCGTAATTATGCCTTATTGATTAGTACAAATCAGGTGTGGTGGGCTCGCCGCACAGCTTTTACTTACTACTCGTATAGCAGAAATAGTTATTTTCAGACAAAGTGAAGTGAAGGTAAAAACTACGGACAGTAAATAATTTAATTTAAATCAATTAATTACCATATGTTCTTCGCAGTAGTCTAATGTATTATATTAATGATTTCTTATGTCACTAACCATTTACTTTTACGACTCGATTCCTTAATTTTTTTATTTAATTATAATAAATAATGAAGTGTCACGAAATATTTTTAGTCCGAGGAGAGTGCCACTGATAAAGAAGGCCGCTATATTTATTTATATTTAATTTTTATTTATCTAAGTATATAGTCCATACTACAGACCTCTTTCTATGAAATTATTAACATCCAGCTGAAACTTCGTAAATAGTTTCATCTCATCGTAACCTACAAATATTTTATTTACGAAATTCCTCGGAAAAATTGGGCGTTTTCAATCTGGAGGTCGGCAAACTTTGTCTATTTAATTAGGTACTAAAAACTAGTATATACATATTTGATTTCCAGTCTAATCGTAATATGTATCGTAAGTTATCGTAAGACAACTTGAACACAAATTCGAGAAAAAAGGGGGCCTTAAAAAATATTGAGCCGTTTGGCGTGACCTACACCCCCAAATTGTCAAATTAAGGAGGTTATTTAGGCCAAACGGCTCAATATTTTTGAAGGCCACCTTCTTTCTTGACGTTTTACTCAAGTTATGTTACGATTAAAATGGAAAGCAAATGGGTGCATACGAGTTTTTAGTGACTAATTAAACACAAACTTTGTCGACTTCCAGATTGAAAACGCGTCAATTTCGATAAATTTCGTAAATATAATATTTGTAAATTACGATGAGATGAAGCTATTTACGAAGTTTCTGTCGGATGTTAATAATTTGATAAACAGGAGTGTGTACCATGGACTAATTGATTTAAAGAAAATGTTATTTTTCTATAAAATATTAAATAATACCAATGATAGCATTTATGAACCCCTCACATGCAAATGTATACAATATTATCGGAGTCCATATTTTATTTAGCGCCTTCGGTTTTCTATTGCGATCCTTTAGTTCCTTTTTTCTCCTTTGGCCAATAATCAAATTCTTTCGTATGTTTTATTTAACCATTTTATACAGTAAATTACTATGTGAAATGGTTAGTTAATACAAATTAAAGGTACTCTAGAGGATGAAATTTTGAAAATTCGGAACTCAAGCTCTGTTACAGAATATCGGGAGAATAAGACATTATATGATAAATTGCTTCAAAATAAACCTTACTGTAAAAAAAGCCTTTTTTTGAGAAAAGTTTAATAATGTATAGAATTGATGGTATAAAATTCCACATCTGGTTAGTCGATTTTCAGGAAAAAGTTGCTGGACACTTCAAAACCTGTCCTTTAATGTGGCAGAATGTATTAATATTCAATGAAAAAAACAAAAAAAAAAAAACAAAAAAAAAAAAAACACTTCAAAACGTATATTTTCGTTGAACCTAGATTCGAAAATTTTCACGATCGCATCACTTTCCTTTATATATCACATATATAGGTAAGTGAAAGTAAAAAATAAAAAAATGGTCATTGTTTGTTCTCTTCAATGAAATCGTAATCACAGCCATCTACAATAATCAATTACAGTTATTACCACCTCAATTATAGAGCACTCATTACTTCCCTATTATATGCTGAACAAGCTATGTTTTTAAATAAAGATTCAAAATATGTCATAGTACCTCAATATTTTATTGAAGTACATATGTTATATGAAATTTAAGAAAATGCGCAAGGAATTACATTAATAAATGTTTACATATTTATCTGTGTGTAAATTTAACCAACAGTTTGGTTGTAAAACGTGTCGTTAAAATTTTTATATTAAGAATGTTATAAAAAAAAAAAATATATGAGCAGAAGAGTCACTATGGACGTATTTTTCTATAATTTTTGTTTAAAATACATATGTAAAATTATTTAATGATGTTATGAATACTTTCCTGAGGAAATCTCAATTGAATTATTTTCTAGATTTCTTTTTAAATATTTTATAATCCATTTTTAGATTTAATTTATCCAAATAGTGTAGCCGGCAAAAATGAGTTGAAACACTCGAAAAGGCACTTCTTCAAAACCAACTAAATTCCTAGACAAATTTTCAACCCTCTACAGAAATTAGAAGAAGGTTCGCAAAGCGTTCAAAATTAGAAAAAAATAAGAAAACTTTGTGGGGATGTGGCAAAATTTTGAGACCACCAATGAGCATTTTTCAACACCAAATCATATCAAATATCAACGCTCTAACTTTCTTTCGACAGTCTGCGATGATGGAGAAAAACTAAAAAAATAGAAAAAATAGCTTTTCATCATCACATGATCTACCGTATCTACAATACGGTACGGTTCTTTCCCGCATCTATACCTCCTCTCCATTCATCATTGTCTTGTGCATGGGTCTACCAAGCTCATGTGTCCAGAAGCTTCTCTACATCGGTCGTTCTTTCTTTCTTTTATTCCATTTAACAACCGCTTTTAGAGCTAAATTTTAAGACTATTTATTAATATTTTATGGTAGCGTTCTGTCTAGAAAACTTTCCTATTACGTAAGTATCCAATTTTAGATTTATTTGACCGAAGTGTTGGGAATGAGGAGATTACATTATAACCCCCGTAATCGTTCTCCTTCGTATAAAATAAAGCCCTACCACTCTTCGAAAAAATTAAAAACAAGAGCCATCGCTCAAGTTCTATCTCCGCGAAATGAAATAATACACTCAAATGTATTTTTTTTTAAATTTAAATACTCGCTTACGAGGACAATAAATATAACGAGATGCTTACAATAATTAATAATTATTATTAAAATGATGAGGCTGTCAAAGCGTAAACTTCAACATTCTCGAATCTATCAGTACTAGCATAAACAGAGTTAAAACTCAAACAGTTTCTTCTTTCTGTGGCAATAAAACGAACGCCAGGTAAATATATACTAGCAATAAAGTAAAAACTAGGCGATTAAATTCGATGGCAACAGCTACACGACAGAAGTACAGGTTAGTTGTTAGCTCAAAGTAAAATGATAACGCTAAAATATAAAATTACTATTATGTCCACAGCTGTATCTGTCTGATCTTCGCCGAACTGACATGAACTTATTCTTTTCGCAGAATTATCTAAGTTAGCCTAGCTGCTAACACTTTATTTCCTCTTTAAACTATAATCAAAGCAATTACAGTATTATAGTATGATATAAGTACGTGACATAATTTATATGTTATAGATTAAATGGACTTTGTAATTTGCATATATTTGTTCTAAAAACGTTCTACATATACTTCCTTAGTTATCAATCATTTAAGTCGGGTTATCTGTTAATTGGCTTTAATGTTTGTTTCCAATACGTGGTGCACCACTAGACGCGGCGTCCCGGTGGTCACCCCACCCACGAGAGGGCTCTGTTTCTTGGTATACTCAAGGATATATCTTTTATCCTCTCTTTCGATAGACATTAATAAACTACACATATATATATATATATAAAATATAATAGTTGGAGAGGGCTTACCTTCGATACCGCTCCAGTCGACTTCATATTTGCGAATGAGCTTGAGAGCGATCCAGGAGCTGGAGTTAATAAACAGGTTCCAAGATGTGCGTCGTTGCCCGCTGGAGTTGAAGGTTAATGACTTTAGAGCGGGGGTGTCCATCGACTTCTCATCTGTCAGTTTAGCTTAGGAAAGCAGTTCGAAGAATAAAAAAAATAAAATAAAATATGCAGCTGGCTGGAGGAATTTATTGAATAAAAAAAACCGGAAGCAAGATACGCAAACCTAAAACGAACATACTAGACGAATGAACTGATATTAATGTTTGACAAACAACATGTTTTAAAACTTAGATGAATTTATGTTTTATGAAACCGAAAAGGTCCTTGTTTGTCGTAAGTTTATTTGAGATATATAAGAGTTTGCATTATTTATTGCAATATATAAAGTATAAATTCACAAAAACGTTCTTATAAGTTCAGCTCCATCAAAAATGTACATTTTTATGCGGATTTTTGCAATAAATTTTATTAAATATTTCTGGTTCCAAGATTCAGTAAATTCCATATACTTTATTTTTTTAGTCTGCGATATAGGAAATCAATATCAACATGGAAATTTGGGAAAGTAAATACAATATCTAAACAAAAAAAAAAAAAATATATACTTAAAATTGTTTATATTATTTTCTAACGGTGTTTTTTTGACGGTAGACCATATCATCTTCAATTCTTCATCACATCCAATGATTAGTCCTCTATTTTGAAGATCTCCTTCATCTTCAGATGGGTAAAACAGTCACATCTTCCTTTTAAGATGGCGGCCGAAAAAAGTGAATCGCTATAGCATTTTTATAACTTCTTCTTAATATCAATTAGTAGTTCGTCGTAGTTGTAGTCGTAGTTCATCTTGTCTTGCTACTACGCATGACTCGGAGCCGTTTGTTAGAACCTGTTTTATTAACGTCGAACGTAGCCGTTATTTGATTGTTCTTGGCAGATGTTTAGACACTTCTTATACGTTTCTTTCGAGTCCGAGGTAATATTGGTGACGCAATATTACGGGCAATGTTGTCGATTTGAAATGATTAACTCATTAAAAGTAAATCAATTATTGTATAATAATGAAATAAAAACATATAAATAAATTATAGAACTTTATTTATTTATTTAATGAAATTTAAAACTGTATAAAAAATACAAACAGTAAAACTGCACACATTAGAAATAATGACATGAACTTGAAAAGATATTGCCCAGTGGTAGCACTCTCTACTTAATTCTAGGTAAGAAGATCACGAGACCATCTTCTTTTCATACGCCTTAGAGGATTATCAGGAATCGAGGAAGAAGCAAAGCTGGAAACAAGTGGATTGGCATGAGACTGGAGTTTACCATGAAAGGATAGATCTGGCTCTGGCTAAATCAGCGGCATATGAAACATTAAGGTCTTTGAGAATGGGTTTATTTGTGAGAAAATGTGTGGCATTAAGGATTTTAGAAAGGGTAAGGATTCTATGATTGTAAGGATTGGATACAATAGGAATTCGATGGTTTGATAGAGCCCCAAAGCCCAACTTCGTATGTTCATATACATCTTATTATGTTAAGCACATGAGTCTTTTGTCGGAAACTAATAGAACTTTATAAATAAAAAAATACAATAGAGATATTACAGTTTATTTAAATCAAATTCACAGTTATACTTAAGTTATTTTTAGTTACAAAGACATTTCGGACAGCGAATGTACCATGGATTATCAATAAACCATATTCCAATAGCAGTGAATCCATACGGTTCCATTTCACGGAAGCAATCTAGTGCATTTGGTGTTAAAATCTAAAAAAAAAAAAAATAATAAAATAAATCACATGTTTTTATTTTCTTAATTTTCATTGTTTTTTTACGGTTTCTTTCAACAATAAAAGTTATCTTGCATTGTAGCCTATACTATAATTGTTTTAACGATTATTTTATTATCATTGACATCAGATCATGATAAGCGTACAATGCGAGATCAACTTGTGAAAATTTCATAGTACCTTTAATATAGGCCCTTCTGGATAATTGTATACGTTCTTTTTTGGACCTGGAGATACTTTGCCGGGTATCACGTGTCCGAAACCGATCGTTCTGTCTTTTTCGTTCATCGTGAAATGGTAATATCCATTTTCGCATTTGCCCTTTCTGAATAAATCTTTTATATAAATTTGTCCTAAAATAAAATAAAAAAATGTTATAAAATTTAATTGATTATGAAATGAAATGAAAAAATAATTTTATTCTGGGTGTCTGCGCATGTGAGTAGTTGTTTTTATTAGTTTAGTTTCTTTTTATTTGATTTAGTTTAAATACATTTACTTTTAGTATTATTGTTTTTTCTCTATTGTTCATTTTATTGATTGTAGAGCGTGAATGTGCTCTCTGAACTCTAAATAAATTTATAAAATAAAAATCTCAACTAGAAAAAAAAAATTAGGTGAGTACATGGATCATCAGGCTTAAATTCTAAAGTGAGCAGGTCTAATAAAATATTACATAATGTACTATGAGTAACCTATTTCCAAAGTGAACTCTATCGATTTTTACGGAAATCGATTCTATGTAACAACATCCAATGAGTCCAATATTGCAATTTCTTTTTAAAAAACGAGCCTAAATATTAAAAAAAGGTGGTGTGAAAGTAAGTTTCCGAAACCGATCAGTTTTTCAAGGATTGTAATGAGACTTGCATTTTTAAGAATTCTTCAAAAATAATAGACCGCGGTGCTCTTTCCTTTTTATAAAATTCTTAACATCCGTTTAAAACTTCGTGAATGGCTTCATATTACCATAACTTAAAACTTTTTTACATACTCGAAATTTCAGAAATAGGAAACATTATTATTAAATTAATTAATTAATTTAGGTACCGAAAACTTATATTCATTTATAAACGTTCATTTTTTTTTTTCGAATCGTATGATTATTTCATAACAAAATAAAAAAAGAAGGTGGCCTACAAAAATATTGGACAATTTAGCCTAAATAACTTCATTATTTTGGCATATTGGGGGTTGAGTTCACGCAAAAAAATATATATATATATATATTAATAAGAAACAGGTAAAAAACAGGAAACATTAAATATATTTATATTTCTTATTATACGATAGTCTAATTTCATATGAAGATAGGGATTATCAGTGCCTTATAACAATTATCAGTGTTCAGGTTATAAACATTTAATAATAAGAAATATAAATAACAACAACAACACTTTAAATAACAAGATAACTGCAGATAGCAGTCCATAGAGGCCGCGTCGCTCACAAGTACCTAATAAACTATTCAAGAAGTTTTAGTCGGATGTTATTAATTCCATAAAAATGGGTCTGTACCACGGACTATTATTCATTAAAAGCTGTTTTATCCGTTCTATTTAAATGAAACTTAAAAATTAAATAAATAAATTTATTGTGAACAAATATTTAATTTTTTATAGTAAAATTTTCATGACTTTTTCTTCCGGAATGTACACACTTTTTCTCAAAAAAAAAAAGAATGAATCAAAACGTGTTTATTGAAAAGCAAATGGGTAAAAAATGTCTTGTATTTCTACAAAACAAGTTTTATATCCTTAAAACATGAATGAGCAATAACGTGTTTACATTATTATTAATTACCTTTCAACATGTTGTTTCTCAGTCCTCAACTATTTAAAATAAAAAAATTAAAGTTTTAAAAATTATTATAGGAATAATTAGTAATTTTCGGAAATATGTGCTACAAATATATTAATTTCTTGATTTTTTTTTTAAATATTGCTTTCAATATTACAATTGGAATAGAAAATAAAGTTTTTCGCGTTTTCTGAAAAATGTCAAAGTTGATTCGAATTCAGTTTGGAAATTAACATTTCAAATATTTGTGATACTTTTAAAAATAAACAGTAGTTCCCCTTTTCTTAGGTTTTACCTGTTAGAGGAGCGCATCCAATCTTATCGAAGTCTCCCATCTCCGGGGAATTGGGCGGGCACTTGCCGGAGTATTTAACCATCTTACCATCCATTTTAGTCCACAGTCCTTCAACTAGGTCGGTGTCGCTTTCACAACGACCTTCCTCTGTCAGCAACTCTGAAAAGTAAATAGTGGCTTTCCTAAATATCCATTGTTCAACCCTTTTCTTGATAAAAGCAATGAAGGTACAATTACCTGGATTCGTAATGTAAATCCTCACTGATTTGGCTGACTTATTGTAGATATTTGTATCGACGAAATTTGGATGTGACATGTTGTATACGTTACGATTCATTTCCCATTCGTCACATAGAAACTACACGCCAGGAGACAATGCTAGATTAATACTACGTTCCTAACTCTACCGGGTCGAATTTCATTTTACTTTATAAAAGCATATATTCAACTTACTGATAACTGAAATCCACTCAAGAGCCCTTTAAAGTCAAACATGAGGCAGAATCGTGGGTCATTACAAAGGCAATATAGGCACAAAGGATAAGGGAAACCTTCCTCGAAGGGAACTTCTTCATAATCCTCGATGCCGTCATCCTCAGTACAAGTGGGTACATCATGGAAGGCGGGCAATGGTATTTTATCATATATCGAGGTCCTGACTGCAGCAGAAGACATTTGAAAAATTGTATTTCGTAAATTACTACATAACGATAATACCGACAGCCAAATTGCTAATGTATGTAAATACAAAAAAAATGAAATTATTCAGATTAGATTTTAGATTTAATAATCTATTTATTGAATAATAATACAATCAGCCACTGTTGGAGGGCTATAAGTATTAGGGATAAGAGTTCTCATTCATAGAATATATACAAATAATAGAGAAATAAATATAAATATAAAAAGTAAATAAATAATACTGATGAAGAAAGTAGATAAAAGAAAAAAAACAAAACAAATAACATAAAATAGAAACTTCTAAACACAATCATACCTATATACAATGCAATTATTCAGGAAACGAAAATTAATACCTTCATTGTATCATGGACTTTAGATTTCTGTTTCATTTTTATGGCATGCGTAAGACTTAGTTTCGAATAACTTTTATGA